TAACCGCTGCAGTTCCAGGGCAGCCATTTCCCCACCTTCCTGCTGAAAGCAGAGGCAGCAGACCTTCCTCGGGGCTAGCCCTGTGGTTTTGTTCTAAGAGTCTCTCCTGGGACACTCCTCCAGCCCTGATGCTTTTGTGAGCACCTAATTCTTCATTGTCATTTTTCATCTGTTTAAAATAGATTGACATTTTCTGTTTTCTGCCGCTGGACCTTACCTGATATCCCTTTTTGTAGATTTACATATACTTCTCAGTTGTAAAATCATCTGGGTTTTGATGACATTTCAAAATATACCAAAGAATGCCTCTGGAATGAGAGCTGAAGCCTGTGTTTGCTACAGCAGAGCCTTCAACATGATCTCTTCTGAGATGCATCAGCAGATCAATGGCCCTTCTCAATGCTTTCAAATCCACTGCCCACATTTTGGGGTCTAAGCCCATTGTCTGCCAGGAACACCCATAAAGTACCTCCACTGCATGCAACTTTAGACAAGGTGCGGGACAGAAACATACAAGAAGTAGCTCGCAAAGGTCTCTATTTCTGAGAGGTCAGCATTCATTTTCAAAGTTATAATTCAAACAATCCATTTCAGAATCTCCTTTGTAGCCAAGGCACATAGCTGACTCCATTCCTGCTATAGATTTTTAAACTCCAAAAACAGATCAAGGCTGAAGAGGTGCATTTTCTTTCCCCCCGGGGAATGATTTGATTATTACTTGCCCTTTGGAAGCAAGGCTGATTCATCATCACCCATAGACTGGGATAAATCATTTGGCTGATAAAGGGAAAATCTCTTGGGTTTTTATTCTGCCTGAGAATCATGTTTAGGGCATTTTCTTTTCTTTTCCTCACTGAATTATTTTGTACATGACTTTCATTTAGAAAATAACATTTCAAAAATACTTTGAAATAGAGGTATTTTTGTTTTTACATATTAGGCTGACATTTCCTTTTCTATCTACTTTATGCATTGGAAGGAATTAATTACAATGCCAAGGTTAGTTTAATGATATGGTCTAGCCTTTTAGGAGTGGCCGCTTTGGGGCATCCTTTTAAAATAATGCATAAAGTAGATAGAAACCCCCTCCTAGAAAATTCCTACCAAGTGAGCTGTAGTTACCACCAGGAGTGTACTGCATCCCTTAGCTGGTACGGTGACCAAGAGGTTAAGAACTGTTGCTGCAGAACACGGTAATCCCAAACCCCTTGAAGCTAAGAGTCTCTCCTCTGCAGGCCCTAAGATCTCTTGCTCTGTGGGAACTTTTTGAAATAATCAGGCTGCCATCAATCCTGGGGCTAAGATTTGCCTGTGTAGCATGTGTGTATTTGCTTATATATTTATTCGTTTATTTTTACACGAGGTTAAGAACTGTTGCTGCAGAACACGGTAATCCCAAACCCCTTGAAGCTAAGAGTCTCTCTTCTGCAGGCCCTAAGATCTCTTGCTCTGTGGGAACTTTTTGAAACAATCAGGCTGCCATCAATCCTGGGGCTAAGATTTGCCTGTGTAGCATGTGTGTATTTGCTTATATATTTATTCATTTATTTTTACACTCAGGCTTCTCCTTTGGGACTCTAAAGTAGTCAACTTTTGAAAAATTCAAAATTAAATCAATTTCCCATTGTTTTTGTTTCTACCATGTCAAGTTTCCTTAACCTGGCAGAAATGAACAGGTATTTTGGTCTGGCTTCAAGATCCCCAGACTCAGTAGGAAGAATGACATGTTTCTGACTGAATAACCAGCTCACTGCTGGGCTAGTGGATTCTTTTGCCAGGAGTTCCTTAGTATTTTTGGAAAACCAAGAACTTAGAAAGTGAACGCATTGTTTGAAACTACAACTCTCAGGGGCCGGCCCGTGATTCACTTGGGAGAGTGTGGTGCTGATAACACCAAGGCTATGGGTTCCCGTCCCAATATAGGGATGGCCGGTTAGCTCACTTGGGAAA